GCCGTAACCAGCGATCCAAGGTGCCCCGATTACCCAACTACGTATAACACGCAATACTTCATATCCCCCGGCTTCGTCGTTATCGCCACCAATTTTCCTCCCTTCCATCTCCTCCTCCCGTATCACCATTTCACGGTGGTACAGTGAAATTCCATCGCCCCGTATTGACCCCATACGCCGTGCAAAAACTCCAGACGACGTGGTCACTGCCAAACCCCTGGAACTACGGAGCCTAACCATAACGCGTGGCGACAGACGCCACGTGTTTGCACCCGAAGGTCCGACTCATAGGAATCGCAACCCTCACAAACGGGCCTCTCCCGAACCGCCGTCACCAAAACAGACGGATCGGACGACCCTTGATGCACCACGCATGCCATCTGCCTTATGCTGCACGACATCGACTTCCGTCAGACCGGAAATAACCCGCCCCTTAGCCCTATTGCATCTATGCCCCTGGACCCTTGCCACAGGAGATCTCAGTTCCGACCTGGGACTCCACCCCCACTTTCCCCAAAAATCCTTGGCGCACCCCTTTTTGCACTTCCAGGCCCACATCCCACTCTGATCAGGAAGTCGTGTCGGGCGTGAGGTTGGTATCGGAGCCCGACACGTGGCTGGGTTCTAGGATTCATAACTGGGCGATCTGGCTAACAGGGGATGACCTCGACCCCGGAACGTGCATCGACGCGACCCCGTCGTTACCAGAAGCCTGTCTGCGGCTTGACGAGCGGTCAACATGAACGCTAATCAACAGAACCCGAATCCACAACAGAACCCCAACCAACCGATACATCCTAATCAAACCGGACCACGAGCACGAGTTCCCATGACGCCACCCGATCTTTATCTGTTTGACCCTGCACACCACCTTGTTGGAGCATGGCTATCCACGCTCCGGGCCCAGCAGTACGATGACAACGAGGCACATGTGAACATTCCCGCTCGATTGGGAGGAGACGCTCATCATTGGTTCAACACCTATGTATGGGTAGATCTCCCGACATTCGAGCGAGGCTTTTTGAACCGATTTGATTATATCCATCCGGAAGAGGCCCTTTTCATGATTAAAGCTCGATTTAAAAAACCCCTCGAATTTGTCACCGAGTAATACGCCGAGTATCAAAATCGATTCTACAGAATGTTTGTAAAAACGGAACGAGGCGAACAAGTAGGCAGAGATTTGTTTATCGATGGGCTCCGCAGCAGAATGATGAGGGCGAAACTGCGAAAACAGTTCTCCCCCATCAATCACACGCTGCAACAGATCATGGCAGCTGCAGAGGAAATGGGAACGGAAGTTCGCCGCAAGTTTCCTAGAAGGGGAAGATTATCCTAGGGAAGGAGACTCGTCCGAACTAGCGAGAGCTAAAGCTGAGTTGGCCGCACTTCATAATAAATTTGAAAATATGGGATTTGTGTCAGGCCCTGTCACCTATCAGGAGCAAATTACCCCCAAACGATCAACCCCGAGTGTGATTACAAGCATGCCCGTGCCCGTGGTGACAGCACCCCCGCCACTGATCGAAACCCCCGCACGATCGAATGAGTCTTCCGCCTTATTGGAACTAACCAAAACACTGGTTAATCTGATTCAGGAAAGCAAAAAGGAACAGCGGGAACAAAATGCTCGAATAGAGGCGATGATGAGGTCGATGCGACCAATAGTGGTGCGTGCCGCCTCGATTCAACAAGGACCGACTTCGGCACCTCCTGCAGGGGTCCCTGACGATTTGAATGTCTGTTACACGTGGCATCAACTAGGGCACATAGCCCGGGATTGCCCGCATCAACCCCCACAGCCATAAGTTAGGGCCGCACCGGTAGCAGCAGCCCCGATCGCTAACGGGTCGGGATGAGTAGGGGCGCTGATGGAAGAAATGGAAGGAGGCGGAAGCGCATTAGCTACGATGGAGGAAACCACTGAACTAATCCCATTAGATCAGTACGTAGCGCTTGGATATCCGGGGCTTGGGATGATTGGAACGATCAGACCCGCGCCGGAACAAAGGGAAGTGGCAGAATAGCGACCCTCTCCTGGAGAGATGGAGTCGAGAGGACCCACTTTCGTCACTAGGGAGATCGATGTTTTGAACATTGTTCGAGCCTTGGATCATCGGATTCCTCTTCCGATCGGTCATCTACTTTCGATATCGGAACAAGCCAACGAACGGATGTTGCAACATTGCAAGGCGAATCGGAAATGATTCGACCTTGCCCGGACAACGAACACGAAAGAAAAAAGTCCAACACAAGACGAAAACGTTGTTGGTACTTCAGACCCAATACGTTTAGGATTAATACAGAAGGACGATCACTTCCTACGAATTAAACCAATCCCATGGAAATCCACAGAATGCGATATCGAGATATGGGGAATCCCGTACAATGCCATCATCGATTTCTGGAGCCGCTGTTTTGACTATCTCATTAGAGTCATTACGGGTAGTTGAAAGGGCAGGAAGAAAGAACGATCTGATCATGCTTGCGAAAAAAAATCAGCTCGTTTCAACAGACGAAGAGAAAGTTAAAACAATGAGACGGATGACCAATGTTGCCTTCCGATTAGAGAAAGTGCATGCTTTAGGAGACGTCGCAGTTTTAGACGTAAATACTTACGACGTCCTTTTTGGCCTTCCCGCTCTTGTGGCCTTGCGAGCCAATCTGGACTTCAAGAGGCGATCGATTGCCCTCCTAAATAGAGGAGGAAAGCTCGATTGTCCTCCTAAATAGAGGAGGAAAGCCCTATGTTATACCTATGAGGCTGACCCTTCGAACCACGACTAATGTAACCCCACGAGTTTCTCCAATAATGGCGGAAACTCTTCGCGTGATTACCTGGGATAACTTTGCCAACGATGAGCAATCTCTGCGGACAGCAATGACGAGGACGATCCAATAATTCTGGAGATGGCGCAACAGCATATCTATTACCGTGTGCAACGAGCAAACACGAAATCACTAAGCCTGACTGATCAGAGTTTACAAAGAACGCAGACCATAATTATGGGTGAATCCCTCGTGCAGATTTCGAGGATGGTCGATTCTTTGGAACCCCCTCGAACCCTGTACGAAGGTATCTCCCCTTTACTCGCACGATATAATGACAAAAGGCAATACTGCGACAGCACAAATCTCCCACGATCTCTTTTGTCATCTGCAAAAAAGATACGATTGATATGCTTAGGGGTGGAGACCAATTCTTTGGAACCCCCTGAGCGCCTCGAAACTGGACTCGGAATCAAAATCGCAATGGAACCCGTGCCATGGTAGGACATCCGAGACGGAATAACACCGGAAGAACACGTGGCCATTCGGGAGCAGGACGCACAAATGATGGCCACGGTATTCTCCTGGCGATTGGATAATTTGTTCATTTTCGCGCCCCCGCCTGAAAGCGCTAAACGGGTAAGTACGAAACAGATCGATGTATGGATATGGGATCAACTGTATGAATTGCACGTGCCCCAATACGTACCTGATGAAATCCATCACCTAATCGCAGACATTTTGAAGGAATACAAAGGAACGATTAGTGTGACGGACACAGACATCGAACTGTCGTTAGTCATACAGCACGAAATTCAGACCGGGAACCATCCCCCGATCCACTGTAAGCCCTACAGGTATTCCCTGGTGGAACGAAAAACGGTCCTTCAGCAGATCCGGGAATTCAAAGCTAATGGTTGGATCGAACCGGCTACTGGGCCATGGTCATTTCCGATAGTATTAGTGCCGAAAAAGAACGGATCAATTCGCATATGCATTGATTATCGCAAGCTGAATGACATCACAATTAAGGATGGGTATCCCCTTTCCAGGATTGATGATCTGCTTGATGCGATTGGGTGTGCTAATTACTTCAGTAAATTTGATATTCGTCACGGTTTCCACCATATCCTGGTTAAGGAGGAAGATCGGCCGAAAACGGCCTTCGTACTATTTGAAGGCACGTGGCAGTGGGTTCGGTGTCCGATGGGGACTTGCAACGCACCTGCCACGTTTCAATGCGCGATGAACGTGACGTTCCAGAACTTCGTCAACAAGACGCGACTAACTCAGGGAATGATTAACTTATGCGTCATCGTGTAGACCTATCACCGGCATGCATAGCATATCGAGTGGATGCTGGGAGCTCTGAGAGATGCTGGGTTCAAAGTCGCACTCGAAAAAAGCAAGTTTTTCCTCTCGGAAATTTCGTTCTTGGGTTACGTGGTGACACGTGGAGGACTGCGGCCAGATTCGAGGAAAGTCGCGGCGGTGAAAGATGCTCCTATTCCCACGTCATTGACGCAAGTTCGAGCTTTCCTGGGACTAGCATCGTACTACCGTCATTTTATCAAAGGCTTCGCCGCGATTGCACGACCTCTAACAAACCTACTACAAAGGGACCAGCCCCTCAACTGGGACGCAGAGTACGAACAGGCCTTCGCCACCCTCAAGGACGCCTTGGTGACGACACCTATTTTGATCCGGTTGGACCCTACGAAGCAGTTCATTCTTATCACGGGCTGGCAGCCAGAAGCGATCTCCTCTATTTTAGCGCAGAAAGGGTACGACGGCCGAGAACACGTCATCGAGTACGCGTTACGCACAGTGCCAGACGAGCGGAGGAACGATTCGGCCCCACAGGGCGAATGTTACACAGTGGTCTGGGGGATTCAACACTTCCATTCGTACTTGTACGGACATAAATTCCTCCTTGTAACCGATCACGAGCCATTACTGGCTCTCAAGAAGCTCACTAATTACACGGGTATGATTGGACGGTGGGCGGTGCGCCTACAGGAATACGACTTCGACATCATCCATCGAAAGACGGAGAGGCACGTCAACGCGGACGGCTTGTCACGTCTGCATCGCCCCGCTAAGGTACCTAAGGGTGAAGAAATCATTCCGTGGAAGGAACCGGAGTCAGCGAACGGACCCAAGTACGGACAAGTGGCAGTCCTTCCACGTGGCAAGAAGCAGACGATTGGCAATGGGTGACGGAGGTAATCTTGTGACTCCTCTCTCTCCCTTTTCATCCTCATCCCTTCTTTCCCTACCTGACAAATTTTGTTATTTTTGTGAAGCAATCTCGCGCGTCTACTCCATCCCTATGCGTCCTAGTGGGGAGGGATATGCAGAATGGATAGATTGTCGACAATGTGTCGCTCGAGCCCACGACTCATGTATCCAGTACAGAAATGACAATAAGCCTTGGTTGTGCCCCTTGTGTCGGGTTGATAAGAGGCTCGGCAGTGTGTCGCACGAGCCCACGGCTCGTGTATCCAGTACAGAAATGACAACAAGCCTTGGTTGTGGCCCTTGTGCCCCTTGTGTCGGGTTGATAAGAACCCGACACAAGGGGCACAACCTATCAAGTTAGCTATAAGAGCGATATTCATCCATACCTCAACCTTTCTAAACTTCCGGGTCTTTTCCAACCCTTCGGACGAGGCTCGATTTCTTGACGCCACGTCGGAAGGGTTGGAAAAGACCCGGAAGTTTAGAAGGGTCGAGGTATGGACGGATATCGCTCTTATAGCTACCTTGATAGGTAACCCCCTCCAGAACTTCACTAAAGAAGACCGGAGGACGGCCAATGAAAGGGCTCGGGACTATCGCTGGAACGAGGGCCGGTTAGAAAAACGGAAGACGGATGGTAGTGGGATTTGGATGGTGGTGCCGCACCCATTTATGAGGTATGACTGGGTTAAGACGGCGCAGGAGGAAACTGCAGCCCATTTTGCCGTCCGAATCACGGAAGCGGCAATCAACAAGAATGAGTGGTATTGGTCCAATATTCGCGATGATGTGAAATTCATCGTCGCGAACTCCCAGGTCTGCGCTGCTGACAAGGCGCCGATTCAGCCGCCAAGATCGATGGTGCCGACGGTCGTCGAACGGCCTTTTCAGAGGGTTAGCATGGATACTACCGATATTGTGGTGCCCCCTGGACCTAATAGCTGCGGATATTCAATCCTACTGGTATTTGTAGACCACTTCTCGAAATGGATCGAGGCATATCCGTGTCGTACGCGACAGGCGGCTGAAACCGCGCGATACGTCAACCGGTTTTTAGGGATGCGTCGGGACACAGAGGAAATCCTGACCGATAATGGGGTAGAATTCAGAGGGGAGGTTTTAAGGAATCTGGTCATACATGGCGTCGCCATTCGGAACACTGTATCCCACATGTCACAATCTAACGGGCTGGTAGAAAATGCAAATCGGGTGATAAAGACAGCCTTGCGACGAAACATCGCGGCAGGGGATCCGAGGCCCGAGCCCGATATCGTAGATCACATCCTGGCGGTCCATCGGGGAACGCCCCACGAATCGACTGGCCTTAGCCCCTTCCAATTACGAACCAATAGCATAGCTTGTGTCTCGATACCGAGCCCCCCCGATGAATCTTCATTAAACCGACGACCCACAAGGGCCACGGTCCGGGACAAAGCCAAGCGACACATGGAGCTGATGGAGCGGTCCCTTCCCCGATTAGCCCGAAAGCACCAGAAAATGACAGGTCCGTAGCTACGAGGCCCGAAATGGGAACGCAGGACCATGGCCCCATTATAAATTAGGGTATCTGATGCAGGTGAGGAAATGTGCTCGCCAAGGGAAGATAGCGCCACGATTCTTCAGGCGATTTCGTGTGATCGAGCTCGACCCGAACGGGGTGAACACCATGCGCCTCGTGCCCGACTCAGCCCGAGGTCTCGGGAAGCCGATCGGCTCGTCCGATCATCCGCCACGTGTCCTATCTACGTCTCCTCCCTTCCTCTCCATCTCCAGTTGTGTCTGCTTCCTCCTTTGCTACAGAGGAGGACGACGACTCTTTATCGCTCGCATCCCGTCCTGCTTCTCTTACTCCGTCCCTGTCGCGATCGCCATGAGTTTTCTCACCGAGCGAGCTCTCGACGATCACATGCTGGCGCCACGTGGCGACATCTCGACAATTCGGCAAGTCCATCATCCGCTATTCAGTCAGGATCTTCTACGCTTCGCGCAATTCTGCAGCACAACGGGGGTGTATGCAGCGGTGGAATTTCGTTTTGCGGTTAATCGTCAGGCACTCATTCTTGCCGAAGCTTCGGCTTATCGTCGGCTGTCCGTACCTGGAGTCAACCACGTGTCGACCGTCATCGTTTTCAGCGGAGACATCAGCGCGATAGATCCTCTACGGCATACGACCATTTGGGCGGAGCTGCGGAAGTGGGATCAGCAGTTGGCAGCAGAGTGGAATCAGTGGCCTGCGCGACACGGTGATAATCTCGTCGTCACCGACAACATCGACGCCGGAGGGCTCCGTACGTCCCGACATGAGCCACCGGTGGCGTTTCCAGAACTTGTCCCCTTTCAACGCCCCCAATGAACCGATCCCAACTATCTACTTTCGCTCTCCCCTCTCTTTTCCCTACCTTCTGGCAATCTAGCCATTGCCCCCGTCTCTCCTTTCGTCTGGAACCCCTCGTTGTCCCCCTCCTCGACCAAAGACAGTGGGAAGAGTGGTTCCATCACTTCATCGATCTCTCGGTGTGTCTGATTGGAGTGCAGTTGACGTGGACGCAGGACATCGAGCACCGCGCCTGGATAGAATATGCGGAGCAGCTGATCGTCCAAGCCTGGAGGACGGAGGTAGAGGGGGACCTTCTCAGATTTCTGTTCGGATCGGTGCGGCCCGGCCATCGCCAGCTGATCGTGCGGGAACTCACACTCACCCTCGCGCAACTGGTCGATGATCTTTCCCTCGACATCATCTCGCAGTGTGACGAAAGCCCGGTCCCGTACGTCCTTTCGCGGACGCTGACACCCTATCTGCAGTGGTCGGCTTATCTTGAAGAGCAGGGAGGGAACATCAACCCGCCATCGCAAGCCGAGTACCTGGACCCGCGAAGGATTCACATCTCCTTCTTCCAGCCTTACATGACCCCCGAAGACGAAGTACTAACGTTGGAGGAGGAAGAAGAAGAGAACGACGAAGAGGAGGAGGAAGAAGAAGAGAACGCAGAGGACGACGAGGAAGGAGAAAAAGAAACCCAAGAAGAAGGGAGTTACAACGAGCATAGCGAGGGAGAGCAGAGCGAAGAAGAAGAAGAAAAGGACGAGGAGCAAGAGGAGTCTGAGTGGGAAAATTTGGGCGAGGAGGCGAGCCGCACAAAGGTCTAGGAGGAAGATCCAAAGGCGACGGCGCGGCGCAGAGAAGAGATCGCGGCCGGTAAGCAGCCGCTAGAGTACGAAAGCGGAGCGGATCTGCCAATCTCGGACGATCCGACCAAGGATCCGGAGCCGCCCAAGCCAGAGGATGGGGACCTTGCTACCGAGACTTCGAGCGCACCGGCCAGGCGGCGGCGGAACCGATACACCTCCACCTCCACCTCCACCCGCCCGGCAGTTCGAACTCGTACCGATGCAGGGCATCGGGCTTCGTCCCTGGTCCTTATCCCGCCGTCCCCTTGACTACCTCACCCTCCGCCAGATCACCACCCGCGTCACCTTCCCCCGCAATCCCTTTCCAATCGACACCTTTCGTTTTTTCTACGCCACCCATCTTGCTATCACGGTTCATCCCCATCCCTCTACCCGGTGTGCCACCCCCGTCTTCTGTCTCCACGCCCTTCTTTTCAGCGCCGCATGGCGAGGCCACAACATCATCGAGGTCTACTGCATGATCACGGGGACTATCCCCGCGTGCGAGAACCACGATCGCTTCCTCGCGGCGCTCTTCCGAACTTTCACCACCCTCTACCCTGACTATCTCGCATCCCTTCCTCATAGTGGTAACCGCTTCCCTCGTTTTTATCCGATCATCCGATATCAGGAGCTTCCGGTGACAGTGGCGGGAATGGAGAATTTCCTACCCCCGCTCCCAACTGACCCACCCCCTCGCCATGCCCCCATATATCGTCTTCCCTTTCCCTTCCTCGACGGTCATTGATGCACGGTTGATTGACGCGTGCCACGACGATGGCACGTATAATCCCCTCCTTGGATTGAAGAAAGCCCTTCCTGAGGAATTTATAAAAGAGAGCCACGTTTGCCACACTGGATGACGTCCACACTCTTTCGAACAGTTGGTGGCAACATAGAAAGCTCCGCGTGTCGGTCTATTAGAGAGATCGACATGTGTCGTAATGACAAGCAAGCAGGAGCTTGCTTAAGATTGGAACCCCCTGGGCGTCACATATGTGACGAACCAATTTTTGTTCCGCGCGATTTTCTGCGCGATAGCAATGAGGGGTCCCAAGATGGGAAGGATGGGCCAATTACGGGAGATCGGGATCGAAGGGAAATTGCATCGGTGTCCTCGCTTCTTCGTCCTTTTGCGTCACTTCTTTTCGGATGGCTGGGTTCCGGGCCGGGCAAGTCCCGAGATGGCCGATTGAGTGGCTGTCTCGCCGACAAAGGAGGGAATAATAATGTTTGACGTCGCTTCTTTCTTGTTCTGTTGTCGGGAATATTAATGTTTGACGTCGCTTCTGTTGGCGGGAAATTTCGCTTCTTTTTTAATTTCTTTTTTGAATCTTGTTCGAGCCCTCGATGGCTCTCGGAATTTCGGACTTTCTTTTCGGAATTTGCGTTTATTTTTAAGTTCCTTTAGGCTTTTGCAATAAGTTTAGGAATTT